CCCACTCCAGGGGAAGGATACTGCAAAATCTCCATTCCCTCCCAACATCCCAGAATTTCCATTGCTAAACAAGGTGGTTGTTAAGTGAGTCTTAACAATCTTTTTTTTTGCCATGGCTGTTAAATGAATCACTGCAGCTATAAATCGTTGTAGTTGTTAAGGTGGTTGTCGGGCGTGCATGTGCGCTAGAAGCCAGAAGTTTAGCTTTTCCAGAGCACGGCCCCGATGAGCGCACAAACAAGCATGCGACGTTTCCAGGTGACCTTTTCAGCACTCGGTTTCTTCTAACTCAGCACTCAGTGCTGAAAAGGTTCACCATCATTGCATTGGAAGAAAAGCAAGTCTGTGCAGCTAACTCCCAGTTTCTTTATTATTAAGTTGGCAGCCACCTTGCTGCTTATAAAAACAATCAAGCTCTACTGAAATTATGGAACTAGAGAATATAAAGCCATAACATGAGGTCATTGCCGTTAAAAGCAAAATCAAAAATTAAAACCAACCCCCATCAAATATGATCCAAGCCTTGTATATTTTTAATATTGGAATATTGGACATTTCTGTTTCAAAAGACAATATAAAACATTTTGAAATAAATAAAACATGTACAAATTTGAGCGAAACGGGAAAGATACCAATATTTCAAACCCCCTATATATAGTGGGATTTTCTTTCTTTTTTAAAAGAGAGTTTAAATATTTAACTGATTTAATTTAATTTTAAACGTTAATGTTTCTTCCCCCAATTTTTAGGATGAGCTAGATTCTTACATTCAAGGATGCGACCTGGCATATTGTGGCTTTTATCAAGCAACAGCAGTGAGAGCCTTCAGCCTCTACTGTAGGTTGAATATACATCTTTTACATAAGGTACCTATCCGTTTAAGCAGAATTAATCTTAAACCCTGAAACTCCATGTTAGCTGCAGTTCCTTTCTCTTAGCAGTTTCTTTCTCTTAACAGTTTCTTTCTCTTAACAGTTTGTCTCTGAAGAACAGGATTATCTCTCAGCTTTGGAGAAGACGGGGACCTGGATAGAAATCAGCATTCTGCCTCATTTTTTGTTAGAGGAAGAAGAGGGTTACTTCAAGCCATCCAGTGAAATCTCTCAATGGGTGATTCAGGTAGTGTGCGCATACATTGAATGTGATAACAGTCATCCTTTGTTCTACATTGTGTTCTCTGTATTTGGGCACCTGGGATGCGTTCCTGTGGAAGGCTGGTTTCAAACCTCCTGCCATTTACAGAATCATTTGTCAGGAATTGATTTTAGATGCCTTGATAATGTTCCCTCCTGTTTTTTTCTGTTTTTTTCTCTCAAACTAATGATTTCTAAGCATTCATTCTTTCCTTGTATAGATCGTTTTGGTTGCTCTGGTTTGACATCTCTTTTAAATCCTTTTCTCAGACATGACAATTAGAACTCTTCACATTACTCTCAGGATTGGTGCACCATAAACTTGTATAAAGAAATTACAATGTTGCTGTATTTATTTTCAGTCCCATCACATTTCCTGGCATGGCATTTGCCTCTTTCACAGCTCCTATACAGATAGTCCTTGACTTAACAACCAGTCATTTTGCAACCAATCAAAGTTAATTACAGACCCCAAAAAGTGGGCATTCGATCCGGATTGGAAATTTCAATAGTTGGAGTGGGGGGCATGGCCAGTGGTGGGATTCAAATAATTTAACAACTGGTTCTCTGCTCTAATGGCTGGCTGGCTGGTCATGTGACTGGGTGGGCGTGGCCAACTTGATTGGTCTCGCCCTTAAGAAATTTCTCCTTAGTCCAACTCACAATAAAATAGCACTGTTCCAATATATAGAATAGAATAGAATAGAATAGAATAACAGAGTTGGAAGGGATCTTGGAGGTCTTCTAAACCCTGCTTAGGCAGGAAATCCTATACATTTCAGATAAATGGTTATCTCTTCTTTAAAACTTCCAGTGTTGGAGCATTTACAACTTTTGGAGACAAGTTGTTCCACTGATTAATTGTTCTGTCAGGAAATTTGAGGGGCTCCTACAAAAATGAGGGGGGGCAAAGCATCAAAAGGCATAACAAAAAAACAATTGATGGAAAATAATCAAAGAGGGAAGCAACCTAGGGCTAAGAAATAATTTCCTAAGGGTGAGACCAATCAACCAATGAAATAGCCTGCCAGTACTGATGCCAATAGGAACCCACCCCTGATTGCAACCCTATTCCAAATTAATAAAATCAATTCTGCTAATTAGAATGTGTATTTTAAAAGGTATAAGAACTCTGACAAGAAACTCCTGCTCTCTATTAATATTTTAAATTGGCCTAATCCTGTCAAGAACAAGGAAAGTTTTAGCCTAAAAATAAGGAGGAATTGGTGAGAACAATCAACCAATGTTATAGCTTGCTTTCGGATGTTGTGGGAGCTTCATCACTGGAGGCTTTCACGAAGCAATTGGACCGCCATTTGTCCATTTTAGAGAGATTCTTATGGAGGTTTTCTGATTCATGTTTTTCACCACTCTGAATAGTGTGATATTTGCAGGCTTAGCTAGCTATGGAGTAGTTGCAGTGCTCATGAACTTAAAAATCAAGGTCTTTTAGTACTATTTAGGATGAAGTGAAGAATTTGTTCTCTCAGATTCTTATTTACCTTCACAGAGAAAAATCCCTATTTTGTTTCTATTCTTTGTTTTTTGCATTTTAACCAGTTAGAAATTCATAAAATGAGAAACCCTCTTACCTCATGGTCTCTAAGTTAGTCCAAAAGCTTTTGATGAGAAACTTTATGAAAATTATTTGAAAACTAACTTACCATATTTTTCGCTCCATAAGACCATAGCTTTAGAGGAGGAAAACAAGAAAATAAAAAGTCTGCCTCCCAGCCCCCGCACGTGGCTCGTCAGGGCTCTGCTCTGTTGAGCGACAGCTGGATCCCAGCCTCTCGTGGCCTTGCTGATTAGTGCGCTGGCTGACCGGAAATGGCGCCATTGCTCCTTCCTCTGTGTATACTGCCTCCGCCAGGGAATGCTTTAGCCTTTGCTGATTGCTGCCAGGCAATCTCCGCTGCCTTGAATGGCTGTTTGGCGGTATTCCGGGAGGCTTATCCAACCGCAGATAGGTAGCTGGTCTGTGATGCAATATTCGCTCCATAAGATGCATTGACATTTCCACCCACTGTTGGAGAGGGGGCAGGGGTGCGTCTTATGGAGTGAAAAATACAGTAAGTACCTCAATATCTACAATACTTGGTCACCTTCATCCATATACTTACAGACACACTAAAAAAAATCACTATTTTTTTTTCTCTGCAAAATCCATACTGTTTTTCCTTCAGTAGGGTTAGTATGACATTAAGAAACTCTGGGATTTCTAAAAATGAATCAGATGAAAGCATTTAAACCCCTTTTAGTATTTTCTACTTCATTGAAAACTAGTAACTTTTGTTTCTGAATAAATCATCTGAAAAGTGACCTAATCTTAGCTGTGTCATTTTAGAAGTATACAAAAGGTTACGTTTTTTGATGGTTTATAAATGTAAAACATACCTGTTTTTTTTTTTTGTACAAAGACTTACCTATTGGTGTGCAAAGATCTTATAGCGGTTGGACTTGGTGATTTCGGATTTCAAGCTAGTCTTCTGAACTTGGCATCTAGGATCATATGCAGAGGTATGATTATATTTATATGTACATACATACATACATACATAATATTTTTCTATTCAATTGTATGAAATTCATAGTAAAGGATAGTATGAGATCAATGACAGACATCACGATCTATAAATATAGTGGCAGATAACAGAATTCTCAAAACTATTATATAGATATATCAGACTTTATTGCTGGCATGTTTTCCCATGTGTTTTTCTGAATATTTTATTTTCAAGACAATATTTACACCACTAAAAGGCTAGCTTTTAAAAGTCAAACATATGGCATACAAAGCATATGATATGTATGAAAAATAATGTGATGAAATGTAACTGAAGTGTTGTTGTTTTCTTCAGAGATTCCAAGTTCTATCTATTAGTTTATAAGGAGTACACTTTTTATTGAAACAATACTCATTCAACAACTTCTAGGAATTAGTAAATTTATTGCCCTCACCCTAGTGGGCTCTCTAGATATCAATTTAAGAATTTGAAACCATCAAGACTGTTGCTGGGAATTCCTGGAGTTGAAAATAGTTGAAAAGTGATCATATTGGGGAAGAACAATATATTTGGAATGGAATAATTACGTTTGCTGTCTGCCACACATCTTATTTCTTCATAGAATGTTAGGTTGAAAATCATTTAGTGAACTCCTCACACTGTCCAGGAATCCACTACAGTGGCATCCATGACAAGTGTTATATCTGCACACATTCAGCAGAGGAGAGGTTACTGCCTCCTAAGGCAAACGTTTGAGCAACTCGTGCAGCTGTGGGATTCACCTACCTTCCCTACCGGTTTGCAAATATGAGCATGCGCTTGCACTGCATGCGTACTGCCTTCTGCATATGCTCTGTGCTCGTGCATTACGTCGGGGCGGATATGTGGAGCCTCCCGCAGCCGCTGCTACCGGTTCACCAGAACCGGCTGAATATCACCTCTGAACTCGTGGAATTTATTTCCGGAACCCAACCAAAAGTAATTTCCCTGCAATTTTAACCCATTGTTTCTTCTTCTATAACAATTCTGAACTGTTCTACTCCACCTTCAGATAGCTTATCACCTTGTTTCCTCTCCCAAGGATCCCCTCCAGTATGTTCAACTTTTTCTAAAACATAAGTTTAATAAACAAAACAACTGAATAAAAATTACAAAGATAAAAGGAAGGAAAGGTCTGATCAATGCCGAATAGACAGATTCAATTTCTTTTTTGATCCAAACACTACACTTTTGAATATACAACCTTAGAGTGTGCTTATATTGTTTTTTGCTGCGCCCTCATGTTGTTTTATTTTCTTTTGTTAGGAAAAGGCGCCATTTTCATTCCAATGTTGCTCTCTATCCTGAGAGAGATTGTTGAAGCTTTCTTAGCCTGTGACGTTGTCAACACTGATTGCATAGCAGAACTTGCAAATAATGTTCCTATAATGTTCCAGAAAATTCTAGAGACCATGGCACTTAAGCTCAGAAGACAACAAGAAGAAGGGATACAGGTACTGGTTGTATCTAAACTTGGCCATAATTTTATGTTTTCCTCCCCCTGGTTTGAGTTTTTTCATTTCAACGGAATTGTTCTTAGTTTTAATAACCCATCCCGTTCTGATCCTTGTGTATAAAAGAAAGAATTCTGCAGCCGTAATTGGGAGAAATGATCCTCCACCATAGCTCCAGACTCTTAAGTTTTGCTTTGAACATTTCCAGTATATTTCAGACTTTTTCTTCCTTTTAAAATACCAAGATGCAATTACTTTCTAGCCAACTCATATTAGCAAAGGTGTTCAGCTTTTTAATGAAAAAGTTGACATTGGGTGACATTTTGTGACAGAACTAAAAGTCGCTCAGAACTTTGGTAGTGTTTTAAGTGGGAGCTTTGACAACTTCGCATGAAAAATCATTATACAGTCCCACATTTTCAGATATAACACTTTACCCTTGCTTTATTTTTTATTCAAAAATCACTTGGTAGAAAGGGCCAGTGATAGGCAGGGCAGGAATGTAAATGCAAAAAAAAAAAAGGCTTTAAGTTTCAGAGATGATAGGGTAACTTTTCATAGATAGATGATAATATTGTTCAGAAAAATAAAATTATTGCTTTTTAAAGGGACAGCACAGGTACAAGGTACCGTGATAGGACTTGCAATTATTTCATATTGTGCTACACAGTTTCTTAATTTCTTTTCGAGGACTTGCCTATAATTCTGAGTCAATGTTAAAGGTGGACTAGGTTAAAAAATAGATTTTGTACTGTTTCATCCAGAATATGTGATCTTTTATTGTCTCTGCCACCTGCCTTTCATATTTCCAATTCATTGTAAGGCTATTAAGTTATTTTTCTCAGCCTCAGTTGGTGTTCTTTTGTTTTGTTTCAGATTATAAAGATTCGTGACTGTTTCTTCTTGAGCCTTTTAATACCTCTTTATATTGGAAAATAATTCCATAAAATGATTGCCCCTGGACTCTGATATTGATTTCAGCCTCCTTTTAAATAGTCCTGGGAGAATTGGAATGTTTGGCTGTTTCGTCTGAAGTTAGTGCTGTACTGACGTAAGGGAAAGTAGATACGGGCAGTCCTCAATTAATGACCAATCCTTTAACGGCTGCACGGGGTTTATAACAGTCTTGGAAAGAGTGCTTTGTGGCCCATAAAACAGCTCCAGCCATCTTAAATGTTGCACTCTCCCTACCCCATTCCAGCAGTTATAAGACTGCATTTCAGACACATGGCAAATGGCTCATATTTACAACTGTTTGCAGTTTCCTGCAGTCATGTTGTTGCTATTTGCAGGTTTAGTGGGTTGTTTTTTTTTGTCATTTTCCAGGAAAATCACCTATTTGGGAAAACTGAGTACAGTCACGTGGGTGTCATGACTTACAACTGTCACGACAAAGCCAGGGGTCGGTTGCTGGAGGTTCTCAGTGGTTCGGGAGAACCGCTAGCTAAGATTTTGTGCAGTTGAGAGAACCCCCAAATCCCACTCCTGGCTTGCCCACCCCACCCTCCCAGGAATCTCCACATGGCCCATTTTGGATGCAGATAAGTGCAGAGTGTGCACGGAGGCTCGGGGAGTGCAAAAAATGGGCCTACTGGAAGTGTGGGAATGGACCCATTTCTGGCCTCCGGAGCCTGGGGAGTTTTTTGCCCTCCCAGAGGCTCGAGGAAAGACTCCTGAGCCTGGGGAGGGCACACACTCCCCCACTCCTGTCGTCCTGACTACCATATTTTTCAGAGTATAAGACACCAAGATTTTGAAGAGGTAAATTAAAAAAAAAACAGTTTTGTCCTCCCCGGCCCCTAGGAGCACTCTTTTTTTTTTTTTTTTGAGGAGGGTAAAAATGTGACACATGGGGGCTCTATCTTCCTAAAGAGTAAGGCTTTTTTATCAATCTCAAATCCACTTTTCTCTTCCCTTCCCATGGCAGGGCAAGACTGCGCTTTACTTCCTCCCCCCCCCCCTTTCCTCTGATCCGGAGAGATCTGGGGATGGTGGAGGAAGGGAAGGGAAGAGAAACAAACGAAGACTTTTCTCAGAACGCTAGATTGGGAAGTTAAAAACATGGAAACAATCAAGCTTGATTGATTGGCCTGATCCAAAGGCTTTGGCTCCTGAGATTGCTGCGCTGCCACCCAAAAATGCTATTATCGCAATCTCTGCCACCTGGAATTGCCTTGAGAAGGGGCAGGTAAAGCGGGCGCTGCAGAGATTGCGGTACTAGCATTTTGGCGATCTCAGGAGCCAAAGCCTTTGAATCAAGCTTGATTGTATCCCATTCCAGGTTTTTAACTTACCAATCTAGCGTTCTGAGAAAAGTCTTCATAGAGAGATTGTCCTTCCCTTCCTCCAAACCCCCCCCCCCTAAAAAATCTCTCCAGATTCTCAGGAGTCAAAGCCTTTTAATCAAGCTTGATTGTACTCCATTCCAGGTTTTTAACTTACCAATCTAGCATTCTGAGAAATCTACCATCTCTGAGACACCTTTCATTTGCAGGAGGAGGGGGGGGGGGCGACTTAAAGCAGCGCCTCCTTAAACTAAAGTCTTTGAGTAACTGGAAAAGAAAGCCGTGCTTTTCAGGTGGCAGTTTTTGTCAGGTTCCAAGCGCGGCTTGCTTTCTCAGTTACTCAAAGGCTTTGGTATACTCCGCCAAAGAGATTAGGCGGGCAGCTCAGGGGAGACAATGGCCACAATGACTTCACTTCCCAGCAATGTGAGGAGCCACTGCCACTGCTGCCATCACCTAAGCCCTCCCGGGAGCCAAGCTGAGTGGGAGCCCCGAAAGCGAAACGTCTCTCCTTTCCAGCCATCACGATCTCTGCAGCGCCTGCTTCACCTGCCCCTTTTCCAGACAACCCAGGCGGCTACATTTGGCGTAAAAGACGTACCCAGATTTCCACCTTCTTTTTTGGAGGGTGGAGTTCTTATACTCTGAAAAATATGGTAGGTCACGCCGACCATGATTACGGCCACCCAGCAACAGGGCAGAGAACCCCTTGCTAAAATTTTTGAAGCCCACCCCTGCAATAGGACCAAAATTCCAGTTCCAGCTGTGGTTGTAAGTTGAGAAGTACAACTACTGTCAGCTCATCCCTTTACAAAGCTTAAGACAGATGCTAGATTTGCCTGGTCCCTTCCGAGTAAAGAGACTTATTTCTGTATGAAAATAGAAGTATTTTACAGCAGATTTTTTTAGGAAAGAACCTGAAAAGAATGCAGCTTTTAAAGTAAAAGTTTTTTCTGGAAGCCATGCATGTTTTAATCTGTGTAGCTGTGCATTTTTGTCTCAGTTTTTTTTAAAAGACATATAGGCATCCTATAGGCTTGATGACAATAATGCTGTTTTTTGTTTGTTTTTTTGTTTCCTAGTTAATTCACTCTGCTCAAGGGCCTCTTGGAGAATTTGTACACGTAGTCCAGTCCTGTGTGTTGATTTTCCCAGTGATTTATAAAGGAGTTATTTCTTCTCTTTTAGCCGCAGTAGTGGTTGAGATAAATTGCAGCTTGAAAAAAAAGGTAATATGTTTTGCTTTGCTTTAATATTCTGGCAAATATGTTGTGTGTGTATCCAAGAATGGGTTTACGCCAGTGTTACTTCACCTTTGTGGTTTGAAGATGGGTTTGAGGTTGTGTGGACATGAGCTTTCAGAAGGCTGGCTGAGGAGTTCTGGGAGTTGACATCCACATAATTTCAGGCTTCCAGTGAAAAACATTCGTCTAAGCAAATATTCAACGGTTTATCAGATGTGATGGAGATCAGACCTCTTGAGGTTCATCAGTACAACTATATAGCAATAAGACTTACTTATATACCGTTTCATAGTGCTTTTACAGCCTTCTCTAAACGGTTTACAAGAGTCAACATATTGCCCCCAACAATATGGGTCCTCATTTTACCCACCTCGGAAGGATGGAAAGCTGAGTCAACCTTGAGCCGGTGAGATTTGAACTGCTGTACTGCAGCTAGCAATCAGCTGAAGTAGCCTGCAGTACTGCACTCTTAACCACTGCGCCACCTCGGCTTTCTAATATCATGTGCCTTCTTTCAGCCACAATTAAAAATAACCAGGGAGATCACAATGATATCAATTGCATACTGTGCTATAATGTACAGTGGTACCTTGATACTCAATTATTTCATAACATCAAGTTCGGCACTCAGTGAATATTGGTACAAAAATGTTGTCCTGGTACCCGTCATTTGTTCGATGCACAGCAATAGAAAGAAGGGGATGACCACAGAGAAAGGACAGGAAGTTGGCCATGCCAGGAAGGTCACTGCAAAAGGAAGTGGGGGATAGCCACAGAGGACGAACAGGAAGTCAGTCATGCTGGGAAGTTTTCTGAGATTGGAAAAGGGACAGACATAAAGTCCTTCCCAAACTGAAACCAAGGGTCACATAAGTCACATAGTTTGTTTGATACTCATCATTTTTGGTACTTGCTACACCTCTTGGAACCAATTAATGATGAGTTTTGAAATGCCACTGTACTTTGTTAGGGTCTTAGCTTGTTATATGAATCCATACTTTTTTATAAGGTATCCATACAAGTTTATAAGGTATGTTTATGGCTTGCTGTAATGTGTGAATTTAGCAAGAGTTTAATATTATGATCTGGCTGGATATGATAGTCAAACAAGCAACAACTAACTTGCTATGCTGACTAGAGAATTCTGGGAGTTGAAGTCCACACATCTTAAAATCACTGTGGTGAGAAATACTATTCCCTACTCACACAGAATCACGGGGTATGTCAAATATCTTTCAGGGTCTTTTCAGCATGGAATATGTGGGGAGAATTCCCAGGAGTGGCTAGAAATGGAAATAATTTTCATCATGTCACTGCAGCTCAATGTTTTCTATGCCTTTTGGGCTTGGCATGTTAAAAATTCAGAAGAGACATACCTTGACTCACTGTGTCACAAACATACACGCACACTGTGGACAAAAGATGCCTCTTGATCTCCTATTTGGATACTCATCTCCTGCTCTCCTCTCCCAACCTTCTAAAACTGGCTAATCTTTTAGTCCTCGCATGCCAAAATCGTGTGCATGACAGCGTGTGTGTGTGTATGCCTACACCTGTAATGCACATGCACACACGACCCCCAGTGATCTCCCGTGCATGCACATGACTCCTCCCTGTGGCCTGTTTTGGGCCTAGTAGGCCTCCCTGAAGCCTCCTGGGACCAAAAATGGAACTCTCGTGCTCCCCCGTCCATGTGCGCGCAACCCCCCTATGCCTGCATGTGCGGGCCCCCACACATGTGCACATGTCTCCCTCATGTGCATCAGACCTTAAAAATCAGCTGGCTGTTAGGAGGTGTGCACACATGCGTGGGGGAGCTGACTTGTGGCATGCGTGCCATAGGTTCGCCATCATGGCTCCAGAACATGGAGGCTCAAAAAAATCATGTGAGAATGCTCATGCAATTTTCAGATGCCCTGCAGTAGAGGTTCCTAACTGGTACTGACCCATGGCCAGTTAGCAAACAGACCACGCAAGCGGTGGGCAAATGAGCAAAGCCCCATCTGCGCATGCACGGGATCTAGGTTGTGTCCCTTCCTGGTTTATGGAAGAGAGTTTTTCTTCTGAAACCTGTCCCTGGTGCCAGAAAGGTTAAGGGTCACTTTAGAGACTGTGCGAGGGCAAGGTCCTCTTGCGTGGCTTCTAGAGAATCTGGAGGCCTCTTAATCCTTGGGAAGCTGCATACAAAAGTCCTCAGAAAATTGTGTGAGAATGTTTGTGCAATTTTTGGATGCCTCTGAGGCTGTGCAAGAGCAAGGCTTTCTAGCAAGACTTCCAGGGTGTTTTGAGGGCTGATGCGGCACCAAAAACGGCCTGGCGTTCTACTTGTCACACAAGTGCCATAGATTTGTTATCACTGCTCTAGCTAATGCTGTAGCTGTGACTTATGTGACCCTTGGTTTCAGTTGGGAAGGACTTAATGTCTTCCCTTTTCCAATGTTAGAAAACTTTCCAGTATGACTGACTTCCTGTCCGCCCTCTGTGGCTATCCCCCACTTCCTTTTGCAGTGACCTTCCCTGCATGGCCAACTTCCTATCCTTTCTCTGTGGCCATCCCATTCTTTCTATCGCAGTGCATCGAATACCAAACAAATGACGGGTACCAGGACAACATTTTGCAAAGGCAGTGTAGTTTTGAAAGGCTGTTCTATGCCTGTGGAAATAAGGGCTCCCAAATTCTTAGGTGGCCCTTGTTACCGAATGCACATCTGCTGTAAAAAGAAATCTTCACTGAATATTTTGGGATTGTTCCTGATGGTGTAAAGGGGCTGAGCAAAAAATGGCTGGCTCTACCCCTTTTCCCAAAGACTCAAGATGACAGGTGCTGAGCTGTCAGCCAAGCTTTGAGCCTTCCAAAGGGGCTGATGTTGCATTCCTTCCAGAAAGCACAATTGCTGTTTTGCTGCTGTTATTTATTTGCCTGTAGGATTATCTGCCTGTCCTCCTCCTCCTCCTCCTCCCAGACCTTACTTATTTCGATAATCATAAAAGACTGAGGAAAGTAATACCGAGTGCCAATTGTTGTTCTTCTGATTTGCTGGAAGCACTTCTTCCTATTTCATTTGTTTTAGTTATTGGCTACAGAAGAACTAATAACACCGAAGACATTCTTAAATCTCCCACCACTTTCAAGCGTTATAATGGCGATTCTGAATAACTCAACAAAAGGGGTTAGGTAAGCTCTCCTTTAGTTTTTTTTTTATATATATAAATTTTTATTTTAAACACATAAACACATCAACAAAAACAAAGCTCTCTTTTAGGTAGGGCTGCTTATTCCAATTTTTCTGTTTTCCCATTGTTTCTGTCCTCAGTAGGCATGCTGTTGACCAACTTTTGTATGCATTTCTGGTTTCGAGTTGGATTTTTATTTATTTATTGAATGAATATATCCTACAGATGCTTCTCCAATCTCATAATTGCAGTCTACTTGCAGGTAGCCCTTTCTTAAAGTAAGATCTGCAATTTAGTAGTAGTATATACTGAAGATTCATTAAATGCTATTGAAAAACAGAATTTAAACCTTCAAGCATTTTTATTACATTTAACATGAAAAATAAAAACAAAGGGCCTCTTGAAATAATTAGTATTTCTGAGTACTTATTAGTATGGAGCAGTGTTTCAGGATCTGCTATATAGCTTCTTGGGAATATAATGTGTTGATAACATTTATCAAGTTTTTAGATTATCTGTGATGCTACTCCAGCCAATTAGATCTTGCTCCAAAGCTGAGCAGTGTAGGTAGGCCAGTTTCAGTATAACAATATGTCTTTCTCTCTCTGTGCCTCCCTCTCCCTCCCTCCCTCCATTTGTCTCTGTACCTCTCTCTCAATCTCCCCCCCTCTCTCTATGTCTCCATCCCTCTCTCTTTCCCCCTCTCTGTCTGTCTGTCTGCCTGCCTCTCTCTCTGACTGTTGGTCTCTTCCTCTCTCTCTGTCTTTCTCCCTCCCTCCCTTTATCTCTTCATCCCTCCCCAACTCTCCCTGCCTCTCCCTCCTGCTGTCTGTCTGTCTCTTCCTCCCTCCCTCCCTCTTTCTGTGTTTTCCCCCCCTCTTTCTCCCTTTCTCTATCTCTCTCCCCCTTTTCCTTTTCTGTCTCTCTCCCCCTCACTTCCTTCTCTCCCCCTCCCTCTCTTCCCCTGCCCTCTCCCTCTCTCTTCCTCCCTACCTCTCTCTCTCTCTGACTCACTCTGTCTCTATCTCTCCCCCTTCTCATATAAAAGGTTTTTTTTTAACTGAAAGGATGTTGCAAACTTACTTTTGATGTTTCTAAAGCCTCAGTTCAGCTAAATAAATATGGTATGCTATTGCCTCATCTGAATATAGCTTTTGATCTCTGGACACTTGCTGATTTTGTGATTCTCAATTCCAGAACCCCCATACTTTTTCAAAAGCATACATTACATTATAGAAATAAAATGCCTTCTATTCTGTCCCATTCACCTCCTTCAAATATGTTAGAAGAAGCAGCAGCAGTAGAGATTGTGAATGGAAGAGGATGATGGCTTGAATGCTAAAGGTGGAAGCAATGTCCTTTTGAGCAAGAAATGTGCTTCAAGAAGTGCAATATGAGAGCAAATAGAAGGAAATGTCTAGGACCTAAGTCTAACAATCTTATGAAGACTTCATAAAAGATTCTAAAATCTAAACATTCTGCATGGTCATGAATTCATACCCTGTTTCCCTGAAAATAAGACCTTCCGGATAATAAGCCCAATTGGGCTTTTGAGCGCATGCGCTGAAATAAGCCCTCCCTGAAAATATTTAAGTGCATGCGCAGCTGGTCCCCGCCATGTCCTCTGGCTGCTTGCCGTGAAAACAACACGAGGTGAGGAGGCAATGCAGTAGAGGGGGAAACATGCCCCATGCACCCCATATGCCCTAATCTAACAGCTGGTCCTGCAACCCTAGCCGTTGTGCTCCTTTTGTCACGCTAGTGACCACCGCAAACTGCGTGGCAGGCCCAACGATATGTGTCACTGCTGCAGCAGCGCAACACAGCAGCAGACATGAGGTGACCAGGCTTGCCGCCACCTGCACCTCAAAAATAATAAGACCTCCCTGAAAATAAGGCCAATCATTTCATGGTACTTTGACAGTTAATCTGTTTGCCTTTAATTTCTGTATAGTTCATGTTTTTGTATATTTCATGCCATTTTATTCAGGTCTTTTCTAAATGAATTACTGGAATACATTGAGTCTGAAGAATGTGAAGGAATTATTAGCCTTACCACTAGTGTGTACATTGTTGCTTTAATTAAAGGTGAGTAATACCCCCAACTCCCTAATCCAGTGAAGTCATACAGGCTTAATTCCCGTTTCTAGATTTCCAAAGTGTTTTTGATGGTTCAGAGTGAAGGAATGGAAGTGATTACTTCTTGCTTCACTTCAGGGAAAACCATGAAACTTCACTAGGCTGTGTATAGGGCTGGTAGCGTTTGTTTTAAATAGTATACCTTCAGGTGAAATAATGAGATTGCTACATATACCTAGTTATTTAGCACAACAAACACCTAAGTGGATTGGGAAATGTCACAGAAAGATTAGACACATACTGTTTAAAAAGAAGTATACAAAAATATTTGTATAATCGTTGATGGACAATGAAATGAGGCTTCAGTCTTCAGAAACACCTATAGGTGTTAAATAACAGTCATAAATCCTTGATTTATTATTGTAATTGAACATACAATGTCAGCCTTACGCTCTGATGATTGTAAAGTGGGTCACCATGTGACTGCACATGCAGCAGTCATTAAATGAGCATTGTGCTTGTAAAGTGAACTCATTCATTGTGGGGTGATTTTTGCTGGAAACTGGAAGTAATAGGAGGAAGAGGAAGCATGCATGTTGCTGCCTTGGTTAATTATATTGTGAAGTAAATTATTGCTGGTTCCAGCAAAAACATCAATTAGTCACATGACTGGGTTGCTGAAAATGGGTGTAAAAGCAGTTGTAAGTCACATGACTGGGTGGCTGCAAATGGTTACAACAGTTGTAAGTTGAGGATTACCAATAATAGGTTTAAAACGCATTGCTGTTCGAGAAGAAGAGAAATCTTCAGTTTTTAATTTGCTGTAATAGAGAACAAACATTTCTCTTTTCCAATAAGACTCAAAAGTCTTCAACATAATCATGTGTTTTTGACAGGTAAACGAAAACCTTCCTATATAAAGGCCATTGCAGCTACTCTTCAGGAAAAAATAATGATGTATAGCGAAATTACCAAGGAAGACGTGGAAAGGTAATTTGAAAGGATTTTATTTCTTTTAAAAGTTTTGTTTTATATACTTATTTGTGCTGGAGATAATGCATGGTTTCTGGACTGTTAAAATGATACAATAGTGTTAATAGCTTAATATAACTGGTTTTATGTGCAATAATAACAATTGAACTTTTGGAATTCAGTTATCTTATTTGAAAAATAAGAAATGAATTTTTTGAAATTCATTTGCTGAATCTAAATTGGTGGACCAATACTGAGTTTTCATCTAGAAGCTGAGCAACATCTATGATTAATTTCATGCGAAGCATATAATTCCTTTTAATAAATCATGTTTTTGTTCATGGGGGGGAAAAGTCCACCTCTTTTTGCTACATTAGAGAAGAAGAAAGAAATGTTCTTTTCTTTTCATCATGTTAAACCACAATTCAGCATGGTCTCTCAGTATAGTCAATGACTTGGTTAATGCAAATCATAAGCCAACTGCCCCAAATCTGGGCTTTTTCTACATTTGTGAACGCTGAAGAGTCTCAAGCAATGGCCATGTTAGATGGAGAATTCTGGTCCACAAGTTGGGAAGACCAGGTTGATCTGTCATGTTCTTCCACTTTGACTTAATTGGATATGTGAACTCACACATCAAAGTTTAAAGCTGCAAATCAAGTCAGGGTGACCAAGCCAATCAGGAATGTTTTCAAGAATCCTTGCTTAGGATTGAACTCAGCCACTATTTTATGGTTATAAGAAGTTTGAAACTTCTTGGCAACCTTGGATCCACCAAAGTCAACCAGACAAATTCCGTATACTTGGCCAATAAAGAATTCCTGTTCTGTTGTGCTCCGTCCCATCCTGTCGCATCCCATCCCATCCCATTCTAGTTTTTAGAAGCTCTTTTATGCTGATCATTACATACATACAGTGATATTTATCTGGAAATGCAATGTGAAATAGGTTTTGTGCATAGAGCTTCTACCTATGGCATGCACACAACTCCGATCTCTTCACAAAGTTTTTTCATCCATTCTTGCAAATGGGTGAGATCCATTATACAATACACTTATTGCTAATAATGGAGCCATAAAGTAATTATTTTTGCTGATATTCCTGTATTAGAAGTTTACAGTTAATGAAAAATAAGTGTACTTACCGTATTTTCACCCATATAACCCGCCCACGCAAATAACCCGCCCACGCATATAACCCGCGGGTTTTCCGGATCGTGTAAAATATCTTCCGTATACCCCGCCCACGCATATAACCCGCCCACGCATATAACCCGCCCACGCATATAACCCGCCCACGCATATAACCCGCCCACGCATATAACCCGCGACGAGTAAGAGAGAAGGGAAACAGCTGAGATGGGGGGGGGGGAAGAAACGGAGAAACAAGCCTGCGCAAGCTGGGGAAGAGGAAAGGAACGGAGGAGAAGGAAACAGCTGAGATCGGGGTGGGGGAAGAAACGGAGAAACAAGCCTGCGCAAGCTGGGGAAGAGGAAAGGAACGGAGGAGAAGGAAACAGCTGAGATCGGGGTGGGGGAAGAAACGGAGAAACAAGCCTGTGCAAGCCTCCGTTCGTGTAAAATATCTTCCGTATACCCCGCCCACGCATATAACCCGCAGGGGGGCGCTGTGCATGTAAAAACCGCATATAACCCGCGGGTTATATGGGTGAAAATACGGTACTGTCATACCTTATACAGTTGTTCACTATTTTTATTTTTCAGGGTGCTCTGTGAAACTGCTTTGGGCATTGTGAATGAAATGCTGGGTCCTTGGTCACGTAGACAAGAGAATGGGATGGAAGATGTATTTTAAACTTCAAAGAGAACTACATGCTTTATCATTTTTTGCCTCGAGTAAAAAATGTATCGTTTTAACTGGTTTTTCTTTGAAATATTTTTAATAGATTTTAATAGATTTTAATAGATATTTTTAAATGAATTGTGGTTCAAAAATTGATTTTATTAAAAAATGTACATATTTTATAAAATGCTATTATATTATGCAATAAGTGGTTGTGCTATTCCTTGTACATATATTTTAAAGAAGGCATGACCAAGCTTTTGGCTAGCCTGGGTCAGCCTGAAGAGGATTTGTCTTACGCCGCACACAAAATATCAAATATACCTAATGTATATAAATACTGCTATAATAATGTTAAAAGTTTCTGTAAGAGATGAGCAGGCTGAGCCCAAGGGAGGAGTTAAATTCATCATAAGTCTTCAGTCCGGCCCTCCTTGAACTTCATTTTGCTTTGACCATTAGCAGCTCAGATTTTTGTAACGAGTATTTGCATGCAATAAATCCATATTCATTTGAACCACTCTGGCTCCTGATTTCTTACATTTGACAGTTTATGATCTTGTGGGGCCACATTACTATCTGTCCAGGGTGGCATGCAGCCTACAGATTGGACACTCTTGTGCTTTGAATAGTTGGAACTTTTCTCAATAAATCTTATTTTTGAAGAATAGCACAAACTCAAAGCACATATTTTCAATTACTAATGCTTAGCTAAAGGATTGCATATATTAAATACTGAGTAATTGTGGTTGCTGGTAGGATTGGTGGTAATAGACAATTTTCATTCCAATAACTGATACTAATAATGAATAAACTTTTGAACTATGTGGTGTTTTGGATTCATTTTCAAAACTGGTTCAAGTTATGTGTCTATTACTTGTCCATGACTCTTTAAAGCAGCTATGTCTTTTCTTATAAAGATGCAAATTTCCCTTGATCCTAGAAAAGAACAGGGCTCCTTTAAAGAGTCATAGACAAGTTTTACTTTTGTACATATTTTATAAAACCTTTCCCTGATTATTTCTGTAGCATTATACAGTCCTGTAAAAAATGCATGCTATCTGTAAGGAACATTATTAGAAGAATATACTCTATAACAGAGTTCCCCATCCTCTCTGGGTTGGTAGCCTGGGGATGGGGGGCAGAACAAGTGCCTTTACCTGCGCATGTGCATGTGAACAGGGGCATGAACATGTGCAGTGCAAGGAGAGGGCATGCACAATAGCCAGCCACTAATGCGCCCAGTGGCTAACAGCCCACAGCCCGGTAATGGGCCATGGCCCACCATGATCCCTTCTCAATAGTTGTTCCTTGATTACTTAACACAAACAGAAACTACCTTTTCTCTACATCTTGGAAAGCAAGAGGATCATTGGTCATAGGTCACTAATAGAGCAGTCATTGTTGAGGATGGGGGCTTTGGGTTTATCAGATTTGAAATTGTATTTTGATCCTTGTTTGGTTTGGCTAAAAGTGGGTGAATCTTCAGAATAAGATGCATGACCTAGAAGGTCATGAATTAAGATTTGGATCGCATGGCTACGGTGGTATGACAAGGTTAAAGTAAATGTTGATTTCAACAACCACTTTGTTAGACGTGCCATTCTAAAAGTTGGAATAAATATAAAGGTTTACGAGATACCTTTGGATTTCCCTACAGGAAGCTTTTTAAAAAAGAGAAATGGTGGTGAAGCTGGACTGGTGGACATGGTAAAATAATATCTTTTAATTCTAGTTATCCTACCCTCAAGTCTAAAGAAGAGCTAGAATCAGAAAGACATCTGCTATTGGTTTACATATCTACAACTGAAAGACAAGAATAGTTAAGGGTTTGACTTCATTAGAAATGAATTGGAAATTTTACTGTGTGGTAGTGATGAGTATTTCGCTAAGGTCTAAAACATTACTGAATTTAAATTTGGAAAGTGACCATGTAAAGCATTGTATGATTCAACAGGCAAGGAATTTTGGACATAATGTAATATGTGAACAAAGGGACAAAATGTGGAAGAAAGGTTTAAAATTTACAGTTTAAAAGAAAATTTCTATATGATGATGTATCATTGGCATTTAACTCCAGACAAGTTATCAAGAATTCATAAAGATATTTCAAATGAGCGTTGGAAATGTAAAGAGGAGACTTTTTATCATTTATGGTTGACATGTGACGAAGCAAAGAAATATTGGAATAGGATTCATGTTCTAATACAGAAAAATCTTAAAATGAATATAAAGATAAAACCAGGCACTTTTCCTTTGGGTTTAATGAAAAAAGACTTTGGGGGAGGGGGGGAAATGGAACTTCGAAGCATGTTGATGGGAACAAGACTATTCTACACACAAAAATGGAAGGACATTTTGACCCCAACACGGGACAAATGACTGCAGAAGTTGATGAGGTTGGCAGAGATGGCTAAATTGACTGCTTTGGGCAAGGAAAAAAAAACACTTTTGTCTCTGGAAACCGTTTCTGGAGTTTATGCCTGAGGTAGGAAAAAAAGAAATGTTGACTGGGTTTTACTGATTAGAAAGATTCGTTGTTATAGAAATGGCTAATTTAAACTATTATGTAAAAGTACAAAGTTGTGGTTTGATGTTACTTCCCTATTCTACTGGAAAGGGAGTCGAAAGTCAATGCCTTTTCTTTCTTTTTTCCCTTTCTTTTCCACACTTTTCCGTTCCCTTTTTCCTTCCTTATTTTTCTATTATTTGCTTTTGTATTTTTGGGGGGTATGTTTTATCATAAAACAATAAAATTTGTTAATTGTGAATAATAGAGCAGTGATGATCCAGGTCCAGAAATAGATGCTTCCAGAAGAGGAGACCTCTATGAAATGTCCTCTGTTAAGTCTTGTTTTAAGGGCAAAGTTTGAGTAAAATAATGTGATATCTAGAACAATAACAATAATAGATAATTTTATATAAAGGTTCCCCTTGCACATATGCGCTAGTCATTCCTGACTCTAGGGGGCGGAGCTCATCTCCATTTCAAAGATGAAGAGCCAGCACTGTCCAAAGATTTCTCCATGGTCATGTGACCGGCGTGACTTAATGCCAAAGGCGCACTGAACGATGTTACCTTCCCACCAAAGGTAGTTCCTATTTTTCTACTTGCATTTTACATGGTTTCGAATTGCTAGGTTGGCAGAAGCAGGGGCAAGTAACGGGAGCTCACTTCGTTACGCGGCACTAGGGATTCGAACTGCCAATCTTTCTGATCGACAAGCTCAGTGTCTTAGCCACCGAGCCACCGTGTTCCCTTTCTTTAAATATAGGGCTACTTTTATATGATAATCTCTATGGGTGAAATAGATTGAACTCGGAAACTTGGAGAAGAAAAGAGGTGCCAGCCAACATCTGCAGCAAATACTCTGGTGCATAGAGATGGGGAGCAAAACACTTGACAAGACAAGGTACTTTAAGAGCAAATCCCACCTCCTTTTAGTACCGATGATGGTATTCAGCCAGTTCTGACAGGTTCTGAAGAACTGGTAGCGGAAATTTTGAGAGTGGGGAGGGAATGGGGATTTTGCAGTATCCTTCCCCTGCCACGCCCACAAAGCCACGCCCACAGAACCATTAGTAAAAAAAAAATTGAATCCCACCACTGTTCCATTCATATTTATTCTCATATTTATCTTGACTGCTGCAATAGTGCTACGACCACTACCTCCCTGAAATGCCTAGCCTGCTATGAGCCTGCTCTTCATTGTCCACTGAACTTTAGGTAACTTTTATTTAAAATTAGCTTAAGGAAGGCTTCTAGGCTTAACAGCTTTTACAAAGATAAATTGTTCTAAAATCTAATCCTGATATGAAATGGTAGTAGGCTTCTCCCACAGTCATCATTTTGCGCCCAACCATTGTGCTATCAACTTTGGATCTTCATCGGAATTTGGGAATCTGGGTAATGTGACTGATACAATTTTTTGACTTTCTGTTTGGCAGTCGTTAAAAGAATCGGCATCAACATTAAGTGAACCTGAGTCTTGTGAAAAACATGCTCATTAGGTGTATTAATTCTCTACAATGGGCGTGGGAACAATGGTCACATGATTGCAGGATGCTTCCAACAGCTGTAAATGTGTTTATTGAGCACCTGGAGTCATGTGACCATGTGCTGGAGTGGGACTGACCATTGGAAGTTTAGATTTGAATCACATGTCCCCATTTTTGCAGCTGTCATAACTTCAGTCAGTCGTAAGCCGAGAGCTACCTGTATTTTGTAAGATTAAATTGTCCATTTTGCCTGTTTTATTATTTTCTTCTATAATGCTTTCTCAATTTCTGTGGTTTAGAGAACAATGTAAAGGTAACAGGAGTTACCTTTGTCGGGATGCGTTGGCTAAGTAGCTAAGATGCTGAGCTTGTCGATCAGAAAAGTCAGCAGTTCTGTGGTTCAAATCCCTAGCGCTGCGTAACGGAGTGAGCTCCCGTTACTTGCCCCAGTTTCTGCCAATCTAGCAGTTCGAAATCATGTAAAAATGCAAGTAGAAAAATAGGGAACCACCTTTGGTGGGGAAGTAACAGAGTTTCATGTGCTTTTCGCATTTAGTCATGCTGGCCACATGACTATGGAGACATCTTCAGACACCGCTGGCTCTTTGGCTTTGAAACAGAGATAACGACTCCCACTAAAGTTGGGAACAACTAGTACATATATGCGAGGGGAACTTTTACCTTTACCTTACTAGAGAACAATGATTCAGCTGGATCAATTTTGAATGCAGCTGGAATGATTATTCCCCTTGATTTGTAAGCGATACTTATAAGTATGTGCAATTCTTGTCATCTTCACCCTTTTTGTGTGTGTGACAAAAAGAGTATTTCAAAAATCCATGGAGACAAATACCACTTTAAACCAAAACAGCCTGAATTGTTCTTCCTATTGTTTGCAATATGCCTATCTCTTCCCTTTTTTTTTCTGTTGCCTGGAATGACTAATGGAGGCTATTCTGCTTTGAAATGTGTCTATTGTTCATGCTATCAAGAAGAAGCATTGTCTACAGATT